TGGGAGGGGTTGTGGGAGGGGGGATGGGCTAAACGGGTAAGGGGCACTAAGGAATCTACTCCTGAAATCATTGTTGCACTATATGCTAACTAATTTGGATGTAAATTTTAAAAAATAAAAAATAAAGTTTAAAAAAATTAAAAAAAACATATCACTACTTAAAATTTTATATAAATCAGGAAATAAAGGTATGTATGTACATATGTATGTATGTTACAAGCATACCTCAGGGATATTGTAGGTTTGGTTCCAGACTACCACTATAAAGCAAATCAAATCAATTTTTTGCTTCCCACTGCATGTAAAAGTTACATTTGTGCTATACTATAATTTATTAAGTGTCTAAAAGACATGAGGTCTAAAAACAACGTACATGCCTTAATGAAAAAATACCTTATCGCTAGAAAATGCTAACCACCATCTAAGCCTTCAGTGAATCATAAATACTAATCACATATCACCATAAAAATATAATAATAATGAAAAAGTTTGAAATACTGCAAGAGCTCCAAAGTATGAGACAGAGACACAGAGTGAGCAAATGCTGTTGGGAAAATGATGCTGATAGATTCACTTGACGCAGGGTTTCCACAAACCTCCAATTTGTACAAAACACAATATTTATGAAATGCAATAAAGTGAAGCATAATAAAACAAGGTAAGCCTCTGTGTGTGTGAGTGTGTAATTTTTAAATTTTGTTTATAGAGTTTTGGGATGCTTAAAAACTTCACATTTTGTGTAGTGATTTTCAGCAATCTTTAAAGTTTTCCTCCATTGCTTTTGTGCATCGAATTGTTAAAGCTTATTTAACAAGAGAAAACACAGGGCGCCTGGGTGGCTCAGTCGGTTGAGTGTCCGACTTTGGCTCAGGTCATGATCTCACACTCCATGAGTTCGAGCCCCGCATCAGGCTCTGTGCTGACAGCTCAGAGCCTGGAGCCTGCTTCAGATTCTGTGTCTCCCTCTCTTTCTCTCCCTGCTCATGCTCTGTTTCTCTCTGTCTCAAAAATAAATAAAAACATTAAAAAAATTTAATAATAGAAAACACATAGAACAATGTAACAGAATTAAGTGTCCAGAAATAAACCCATGCATATACAGTCAACTAATATTCAACAAGGGAGCCAAGAGCTTTTGGTGGAGAAAGGACAGTCTCTTTAATAAATGTTGCTGGGAAAACTGGATATTCATAAGCTACACCATTCACAAAAATCAACTCAAAATGTTATTAAACACTTAAATGTAAAACCTGAAGCAGTAAAACTCCTTGAAGATAGGGAAAAGACTCTGACATTGTTCTTGGCAATGATTTTGTGGATACGACACCAAAAGTACAAGCAACAAAAGCAAAAATAAATAAGTGGAATGACATCAAATTAAAAGCTTCTGTGCAGCAAAAGAAATAGTCGATAAAATGAAAAAACCTATGGAATGGGAGGAAATATTTGTAAACCATAGATGGTAAGGAGTTAATACCATAGATGGTAAGGAGTTAACTCCTGGTAAGGAATTAATATCCAAAATATATAAGGAATACATACAACTCAATAGCAATAATAATAATAATAATAACCCAATTTAAAAATAGGCAAAGGACCTAAATAGACATTTTTCCAAAGAAGATATACAAATGGCCAGAAAGCACATGAAAAGGTACTCAACATCATTAATAATTAGTGAAATTTAAATCAAAACCACAATGCGGTATCACCCTACACCTGCCAGAATGGCTATTATCACAAAGACAAGAGATAAGTGCCGGTGAGGATATGGAAAAAAGGGATCTCTTATGCACTGTTGGTGGCAATGTAAATTGGTGCAGCCACTATAAAGGTTCTTCAAAAAATTAAAAATAGAACTACCATATGATCCAGCAATCCCACTTCTGGGTATACATCCAATGGAAATGAAATTACTATCCTGAAGAGATATCTGCAGCCCATGTTCACTGCAGCGTGATTCATAATAGCCAAGACATGGAAACAACTGAACTGTCCATCAGTGGATGAACGGACAAAGAAAAGGTATATATATACAACTGAATATCATTCAGCCATAAAAAAAGAAGGAACTCTTGCCATTTGCAACAACATGAATGAAACTTGAGGGTATCATGCTAAGTAAAATAAGTCAGAGAAAGACAAATACTATATGATCTCACTTACATGTGAAATCTAAAAAAAAAAAACAAAACAAAAACAAAACTGAAGTCATAGAAACAGAGAACAGACTGGTTGTTGCTGGGGTGGGGGAAAAGGGTGAAGGTGGTTGAAGGGGACAAACTTTCAGTCATAGGACGAGTAAGTTCCGGGGATGTAACGTACAGCATGGTGACTATAGTTAACAATGCTGTATTGTGTATTTGAAAATTGCCGAGAGAGTAAATTTTAAAAGTTCTCACCACACACACAAAAAATGTGACTATGTGAGGTGACAGATGTGTTAGCGAACCCTACTGTGGTGATCATTTCACAATATATACCTATATCAAGTCGTTATGCTGTATACTTTAAACGTACATAGGGCTATGTGTTTATTATATCTCAATAAAGCTGGACAAAATAATACAAGATTTCAAAAACTCAAGATATTAGAAAAAATGCCATTTAAAATGCATTTCAAAGGACCCTATTTCAGGCCCTAACTGTATTTGGAAACACTTTCCGGCTCATTCATTTCTTGGTCTGGGATTTTTGTTTTGCTACACATCCATTCTTGGCACGTACAGGCCATTGATTGAGGGTCCATTGTATGGACAGCAGATGCCAAGCGCTGAGGGAAATGAGGAAGGACAGAAAGTCCTATGCAAGTTGTCTTTGCATAGTGCCAACCACAATACCATCTGCCATTAGGTACATGACAGATAATAGGTTTTGTATAGTTGTCAAATTAGGCCTTTTAGGAGAACACGAACCCTTAGATCTGATAATAAGAACAGACTCTATGTTCATATTGTAAGCATGAACCTGGTGAGTAGACTGTAGACAAAGGGAAACACAACGGGTTACCGTGTCTAAAAATAAAGGACAGATAGGGACAAGAATCCTTGCTCCATTCTCGGCTAAAAACATCTTTGGAGTAATCTTCCCAACTCCTAAATATAACCCCTGGGATTCTAGACATGCTGACTTCTCATGTGGCCCTTCCTATGTTCTGTAATTTGAAGCTGCCCCCAAGTGTACAGTTGGTCCAAGAACTACGACCTCTTCCTCCTTGGCCTTCTTTTTGGCATCGTCCAGCTTCTTCTTTTTACTTTCAGGCATGAGATCATCTAACCAGCTCAGCTCTCGTTTAGAGAAACAGAGATCCATGACTTTCCTGACAAAGACCAATGCCAAAACCTGAAGAAAAATAAAGACAGGGGATGAAAAGAGCTCATTTTCTTCCCGGAGTTAAAAGCAAAGTCTTATCTTCACAGCACACTAGGACATGTCAAGGAAAATCAAACTAATAATAATAATAATTAATAATAATAATAATAATAATAATAATTGCCTGTTACTGAGTGCCTTCTTTGTACCAGATACTAAATATTCACCTTCGTGTTTTATATACAATATTTTATTAAACTATCATAACAACCCTACAACTTAGAAAGCAACCAACTTAATTCCCTCCTTGAAAAGAGAAACCCTTCATCCTCAGATGGCCCTAAGAGTTGCCCTTCCCTGTCATGGGATGAGCAGGAAGGGCTGCTGGGCAGCAGTGGGCTGGAAAGCCTTTGCGGGAGCACAGCTATGGTGAGGCCAGCTGCACCCAGCCCAAGCATGCCTCACCATGGGATGAAGGGACCTTGAAGGATCACCTCAATTCCCTCTGATCCTCTGCCTATACATTTCCCTGCAAACTCCTTGCTTTATGCCTGCATCACGAATCACTAGTGGTTTTTGTCTCCGCCCTCTGGTCTGGCCTGACACTCATTTTATAAATGAGGATACTGAGGCTCAGGGAATAGAAAGTGACTTGCCTCTAATATCTGACAGCTAATTTCCTCAATTTTACAGGACAGGGTGTATCAACTGCTGTTCCACTTTTTTTTCCCCCGTAAAAGGCCATTTTTGCCAAAGGGGAATTCATAATAACCCAGAATGACCTGCCTGGATTGACAGGTGCTCACTAGCTACATCTGGTGGCTTAGGGAAGGAATGAGGCAAATCAGGCTTACTACCTTCAATCATATTTCTCCCTCATTTCCATAACTATTTCCCCAACAAATCCAAAATTGATGGTATCCCTCCCAAGAAGTTGTCAGGAATTTGCTGTTTCTTTAACCAAATGGTCAACCCCTGAATATAACACTTAAATACAGAAACCTATGTGTACTCTGACAAAATTGAGAAACCCATCAGGAGGTATACATGCAGAAGATTAGAGAAAAAGAATTCCCTGACCCTAGTTTCTTCACCTTTGAATATTCTCCGAGTAAGACAGAGCTCAAAAGTCCCTAAACAAATACCAAACATTAGCCTCATTGACTTTTCTCTCTAGAGGCCCACCCTTTGGGTAGTTTTCAAACAGCCCACAATTCTCAGCGTCCCCGTGAACAGGGTGAGCCAGAGAGAGGAGGCAACAGGAGGAGAAGATGAGACAGTGTGCTGGTCAGGTGGCAAGAGTTTCATCACCATCCCAGTGGCAGGAAGCAGCCTATCACCTGTTACACCATACACAGTTCAGCTTCTCTGGTCCCTTTTCCAAAGCCTCTGCTTCAGTTCGAAAGAAGGTACGGATGTCTCAGTCACTTATCAGTGATGGACCAACCTCTTCCTCTCTTCCAGTGGCTTAAAATAATGCATTTCCACCACTTTAGACACTTCTGACTGTAATAAATTCTAAACTGGAACTATAATATGCAAATTATTATAAACATGAAGAATCCTCTCCATGTCAGATTCATGAGAGAGAAGACAGAAGGAAGGAAGGAAGGAAAAAAGGAAGAAGGAAGGAAGGGAGGGAGGAAGGCAGGCTGACGGACTTGAAAGTAAACATGGCAACCTGCTACACACATGTATTCACACCTCAAAGTCCCCAAATAATACTGCTCCTGCAAAAGACAAACAAAAAACTCACCATTAATAAGGGATTCATATCCAGAATATACAGAGAACTCCTAAAACTCAACAACAACAAAAAATCTGATCTAAAAATGGGCAAAAGGGGACGCCTGGGTACCTCAGTTTGTTGAGAGTCTGACTTCAGCTCGGGTCATGATCTTGGTGGTTCACGAGTTCACGCCCCGCATCGGGCTCTGTGCTGACAGCTCAGAGCCTGGAGCCTGCTTCAGATTCTGTGTCTCCCTCTCTCTCTGTTCCTCCCCTGCTCATGCACTGTCTCTCTGACTGTCTGTCTCTCTCTCAAAAATAAATAAAAACATTAAAAACATTAAAAAATAAAAATTAAAAATGGGCAAAGGACTTGAAAAGATAGTTCTCCAAAGAAAATATACAAATAATCAATAAGCACATGAAAAGATGCTCAGCCCCACTAGGAAATGCAAATCAAAACCACAATGAGATAGCACTTCACACCGGTTAGGATGGCTGTTATCAAACAACAACAACAACAACAACCGAATGAACAAACAAACCAAACAAAAACCCCTCAAACAGAAAACAAACATTGGCAAATTGGAACCCTGTGTACTGCTGGCAGGAATATAAAATGATGCGACTGTTCCTCAAACAAGTAAAAATGGAATTACCATATGATCCAGCAGTCCACTTTTAGGTATATACCTCAAAGAACTGAAAGTGGGAACACAGATATTTGTACAATTCATGTTTACAGGAGCATTATTCCCGATTGCCAAAAATCGGGAGCAATCCAAGAGTCTATCAATGAACAAACAGAAAAACAAAATGTGGCATATACATATATACGTATATATACATAGATACACACATACACATATGTATATACGTATATACATATATATATATACGTATATATACATAGGTACACATAGAGGAATATCAGTCAGCCTTTCAAAGAGAAATCCGATGCATGTTACAACATGGATGAGTCCCCGGAGGCATTATGCTAAGTGAAATAAGCCAGCTACAAAAACACAAATACTTTATGGTTCCACCCATACGAGGTACCTAGAGTAGTCAGAGTCATAGAGACAGAAAACAAAATGGTGGTTGCTGGGGACTAGAGGAGGGGGAATGGGGAGTCATCGTTCAATAGGTACAGCGTTTCAGTTGTGCCAGATAAGAACGTTCCGAAAACGTACAGTGGCAACGGTTGCACAGCAATGTAAGTACCTAATGCCACTGAACTATACGCTTGAAAATGGTTAAGATGGTAAATTTTATGTGGTGTGGGTTTCACCACTATTTTCAAAAATAAATAATAATAATTTTTTTAAAACTCACCATCATTGGGAAGACAATGGCAGCCGGAGAGGCCTTGATGACCCAGAGTAGGACAAGGCAGGTCAGCTGAATGAGGGTGAAGAGGTGCACTTTGCGCAGGGGCACGTGCCGAAGATAGATAAAATCTGGCTGGTGCTTTGCAGGCATCCCAAAGAGCTTCAGACGGTCAAAGAACTGAAAGGAGGGAACCGGCATGTATTTTCAGGAGGTTTCTCTGGGTCAGAAGCCTTGTCAGGCCCATTCTCGTCTCTTATATCACCCGCTCTGAAAGGTAGGTAATACAGTTTCCACTGGACAGAATGGAAACTGAGTCTCAGAGAGGACAGGTAATTTGGCTAAGGGTTGGTAAATGACAGAATCAAAATTTAAATCCATCTTTTTTTTTTTAAGATTTTTTTTTTTTAAGTAATCTCTACACCCAATCTGGGGCTTGAACTCACAACCCTGTGATCGAGAGTCACGTGTTTTACCTACTAAGCCAGCCAGGCACCCCTAAATCCATCCTTTCTAATTCTAGAATCAGAAAATGTCTTTCTTCTATCCCACACTGGCTCCTGAGAGATCTTTCTCAGGGAGTGCTGAATACAAAATAAGCCAGTTCCGTATTTCTGCTGAGTATCAAAACCAAATCTCCTACTTGTTCTTTGAGGAGTCTGGAGTTTTTCATTGATTATTTATAGTAAGAAAATAAAATAAAACTTTGTAACATTCTGGAGATAGAATATATGACCAGCGTTATATTAGCAATAGGAAAACAGAGAGCTAGAGGGATTGAATAACCTGCCGAAGGTCACATGAAAACTCAGGGGGTAAGAGTGACCACTGGATATTCCATAAAAACAAAGAGGAACCAGCCACCAATAGAAGAAGAAACTAAGTTATCATATCATCTGGGGTACCCAAATGATCAGTGCCCAGTCCTGATTTTCCATGCAGAGGACTCAGAGGAATGAGTTGATGGATGGGAAAAGGCAGAGTAGGGCAGGAAGTAATGCCTGCTTACCTGGAGCAGCCCCCACTACTGCCGATCTCTTCACCAGCAGACCCCCAGTTGAGCTCCCTCTCTCACACTGTAGCCTAGCGCTAACACTAGTGTGGTCCATGTGTGGAAGCCAGTTTGGCTCTTGACAAGCCTTTCAGATCTAAGTTACTAGCATCTGACAAAGCACCTAGCAGTTAATACATGCCCAATAATTGTCTGTTGAATAATTAATGGATGACGGGTACCCTGAAATCAAGCCAGGTCATCCTATAAGTCTCTGTACCATCATCATGCCAACTTGACTGTCCAAATGACTTAGCGAATGTCCAAAGAAATATCTAAAATAGCTTAACCAGTAAGACTAGGAAATAGTTTCTCAAGAATGGATTTGTGCTTTTCCGGGAGAGCTCTCCCTCCCTGGTCAGGACAGATGAGCTCCCAGTGCAAAAACACTGCCCTGGCAGAAGCATGCCATACCTGAATTCCTTGTAGAGAAGAAACTCCCATGTAGAGGAAAACTCCATAGAGTACTGGCATTGGGATAAACTGAAGACAAAAGGGCAGAAAGACCAGAAATTAAATTTGGTACCATAATGCACTCAAGACTACATAAACTTTTAAATCTCCAAGGAAACAAAGTCACAAAATCACCACGTAAACATTGCATTAGTTTCTGCTGCCTTTGCATGATTTAGAAGTAGAAGCAAAACCAGAAGCTGACAATGATAACAATTATTTTGTTCTGAAATGAAATGATTACACATATGTGTAATCCAGCCCTAGTTAAATCCTAGGCCTCACATTTTATCCGTCAGGTTCTTTTTCCTCCATGGGGATGGGCAGACACACACACATCCCTCTTGTACAGAACCGATACCTTTCAAATTTTGTCTAATCATACAAGCAATCATCTTAGGGATTTGGTGTATTTTAACATGGACTAAAAAGTTTCCTTTTTGCTAACTAGAGACTTGAGGGTAGAAATGGGGAGGTATCAGAGGGAGAATGATTTGGGGAGAAACAGCAACATTATTATACTGCACTTGAATATATATACGCACCTATCATATCACACCTAGCAATCTAGGTAATCTTCAAGGCAACGCTATGAGGTAGGGAAATGAGGCCTATGGAATTAAGGCAAGGGAAGTCTCATAGCTGAAGACTAAACTTGACTTGCTTTTATTCTGAGGCTAAAGAACATTCTCAAACATAATTCTTCTCAGAACTAGAAAGTCCCCATTGGATTTTACGCTGTTTCAACTGTACAGTGAGTAGACATCTCAGTTTGGTGCTAACCTTGCTTGTTGGAACTATTGAATGGTTTTCTGAAAGAATCCTTCTGAGCCAGTTCTAGGAAGGCTAGGCGATGCCTACTCCCATGGCTTCGTGGTTACCTTCCTGGAGGAGCGGCAATCTTTGGGCTCCTCCAGATGGCAGGCAGACCAGAGGTGGGAGCAGGGGCTGGGCTGGGGACAGAGAGTAGGAGGGGGCAGGGGGTATGAGGAGAGGTGGCGAGATTGGGTGGAAAGTAAGGAGCCAGGAAGATGGTTCCAAATCCCTTCCCATTTCTCTCAGTTGTCACCCCTAAATAGCACTTGCAGTGCAGGCTGGGGTGGTTGAAGATTCACCAAAAAAGAAGGGGAAAGGAGGCAAGGGAGCCAAGTAAGTGCTCCAGAATGTTTGGGGTTTGGCGTTACAGCCATAGAACTTTCCTTTTCACCCCATTTTTCCCAGACACAAGCCTTCCACCCACAAAACTAAATATTTTTTTCTCATGTTTGAGGTGTCTGCCATCTTTCAAAAAATCCTCTTTTAACCCCACACCTCACACCAGCCACTGCCTATTTTCCATTCCACTTCACAGAAAAATCTCTTGAAAGAGTTGTCTGCCCACGCTGTCTTTACTTTTCACCTCCTATTTACTCTTCACTCCCCTGTAATTCAGCCTCTGCCCTATCACTCCACTGAATCTGCTCTTGTCAAGTCATGTTAGGCCTCCTCATTGCCAAATCCAATGGCTTGGTTTAGTCTTCATCTTTCTAGACAGTTTCTAACCAATCCCTCCTTCTGGAAAAATTCCCCTCATTTGGCTTCCCTGACACCACGCCCTCCTGGTTTCCCTTCTACCTTTCTGGCAGCTCCTTCTGAGTCTGTGTTGCTGTCTCCTCCTCTACCCAACTTCTAAATATTGGAGCTCCTTAGACTCTGCTCTTCTCTCTGGTCCTACTTCTGTTTTACATCTACCCTGCTCCCTGAGCGATCTGATCTACTCCCATGGCTTTCAATACCACTAACTGCTGTTGACTTCCACATTTATATTTTTAATCCAGAGCCTCCCTCTAGCTTTTTCACTCAGTTGCTTCCTGGATATCTCACCCAAAATCTGCCCATAGACCCACCACCTCTCACAAAATCATTTCCTCCTTCAGGCAGTCTTCTCCATCTTAAATATCACTACTCTCCATCCAGATGGTCAAGTCCAAAACCTGGAAGGCGCTTTGATCTTTCCATTTTCCACACTCCATTCCACATCCAGTCAACCGGCAAGATCCTTGGATCTGCCTCCAAGATACACAGAAGACATGCCTTTTATCCAGCCCTACTACAACCTTCTTTAGCCAAGTCACCATCATCTCCCACCTATAATATAGCCTCACTAGTCTCTCTGTTTTTCCCAACCCTAAAAACTTATTCTCTAGACATCGCCAGAGTGATCTTTTAAAAATACTAAATGGGGGAGGGGGGTGCCTGGGTGGCTAAGTCGGTTGGGGGTCCAACTCTTGATTTCGGCTCAGGTCATGATCTCACAGTTCATGGGACTGAGTGCCACATCGGGGTCCGCACTGACAATGTGGAACCTGCTTGGGATTCTCTTTTTCCCTCTCTCTCTGTCCCTCCCCGGCTTGCACGCATGCTCAAAATAAATAATAAATGTTTTTTAAAAAGAAAAAAAAAGTAATAAATAAAAATACTAAATAGATCATGTCCCTTGCCTGCTAAAACTCTTCAAAGGTTACCTTTACCAGACTCAACAAGGCCCTGCACGATCTGCCCCCACCTAGTCTTCACTCTCATCTCATTGTGTTCCTGCCTTGAGCCACATGGCCCTGATATTTCTTTTTCTTTTTTAATTTTTTTAATGTTTTTATTTATTTTTGAGACAGAGAGAGACAGAGCATGAGCAGGGGAGGGGCAGAGAGAGAGGGAGACGTAGAATCGGAAGCAGACTCTAGGCTCTGAGCTGTCAGACAGCCCGAGCTGGGGCTCAAACTCACTTAGACACGACGAGATCATGACCTGAGCTGAAGTCGGACGCTAACTGACTGAGCCACCCAGGCGCCCCGGCCCTGATATTTCTTAGTATACATATCACTCCTTCCCATCTCAGGGCCTGCCTAGACTGCTTCTCTCCCTTCACCCATGCCATCTCCCACCATCCATGGCATGACCAGTTCCATCTCATCTTAAATACCATCTCTGCAGAGAGGCCTTCTCCGACCACACGGACTAAAACAGCACTCCCTTAATTCTCTATAGCACCAGAGAGCACCAAATATTTCCATTAATCATTTATCATATTCTATAATTACTATGTTTGTTTTCTTTCTTTTCTTATCCTCCCCCTCCTCTTTTTTTTTTTAAGATTTTATTTTTAAGTAATCTCTACACCCAACATGGGGCTTCAACCCACCACCCCAAGATCAAGAGTCGCACCCTCCAATGACTGAGCCGGCCAGGCGCCCCTCGTTTTTGTGTTCTTAACTAAATTCTTTTTTTTTTTTAATTTTTTTTAATGTTTATTTATTTTTGAGACAGAGAGAAACAGAGCTGAGAGTGGGGAGGAGAGAGAGGGAGACACAGAATCCGAAGCAGGCTCCAGGATCTGAGCTGTCAGCACAGAGTCCAATGTGGGGCTCGAACCCACCAACTGTGAGATCATGACCTGAGCCAAAGTTGGATGCTTAACTGAGCCACCCAGGTGCCCCTCTTAACTAACTTCCTTATCTGCTTTACTCTGCTAGAGTTAGCTCTTTCAGGACAGATATTTGTACATGTATCTGTTTGACTATCACTGTATTCCCAGAATTCCTGACACAAATCAGGCAGTCAATATCCATCTAACGAGTGAATGAATAATTACCTTTAATATGGCCGTCATGAAGACTGAGCAGCCCATCAGCACAAAGATCATAAGGCCCGTCACTCTTTGTTCTCGGATGCCCAAGAACTTGGGTTGTTCTCCAGGAGCAGAGCACTCAGATTCTAGTTTGAGGCTGTTCACATGTGTGATGGACAGGACAGTTGCCGCCACAAACCAGGGCAAGCCCATGATGGAGCAGACACCCAGCATGATGGCCACCATCAGCAGGTCCAGGTGGTAGCCACAGCCTTTCTGTGGGGAAACAGAGTCTCTGTCACCACCAATGGGCTGGCTGTAGTGGGACACAGAACAGTGAGCTAAGAGCTTCAGGCCCAAAGCAGGAGGGAGTGGGTAAGGAAGAAGGGGTCCAGAGATCCCAGATGAGTCTTCCAGCCCCTCCTGGTTTGGAGGGAACAGAGAAGAAAAAGAGAAACCTTACCCTGTCATATACATGCCATATCCATTTTTCATTCAAGTGCCCCCAGATTTCACCCTGAGTCTCATGCATTCAAAGATTCATCCTTTCTTGGCAGAGTAACCAGAGGCCAAGGCACACCTTGACCATTCTAGTGGTAGACAATATAGGAGTTGGAGGTAAATGGCTCCACACAAACACCCCCAGATCCTTGCCAAATATGGATTTGCCTACTCTAAGTAAGGAAAGAACAGAGATGAAGGCATGAAGCCTCTCACCGATAAATGTGCTGGGCTCAAACCTACCTCCTTGGAATCCTTGGACTCAAGGTTCAGTCTGGAAACTCCAGTAACGGACACCAATGGGAGAATACTTGACTCTCGGAAACAGTGGCCCAAGCCCTGACCTGAACCTCAGAAAGACAAGCCTGTATAGGGACCACAAGGAACTGTGCCCACCCACCTGCCGCACAGGTTTGAGAGGAAACTAACAGAGTCCAAGCTCCTTTCACACCATTTCATCATGTTCTACTCTGGTTTCATCTCCAAACCAATCTTTGTCACTAATTGAGGAATCAGAACCTCTGGAAACATTTTATGAGCTCCTTCTATGACTGCTTTTATCCAGGTTCTATAGTTCCTTGTCTAAAGGGGCTTACCCTAAAAAAACAAAAAAGGAACCGGCTACCATTCGTCCTTCTAGGTCAGAACTTTTTGTTACCTTGAGCTTGTGTTCCTTCCTGTTAATGATGACAGCTGTGATCTGCTGGTCCATGAATATTAAGATAGTACAGAGAAGAGCTGGGATAATTGCAGCTATCACAGTCCACCAGGGATTGGGGCCAATGGGACTAATAATCCACCCTCGATCATCTCTTGTTGGCTAAAGGGGAAAAAATAAAGTTTTGTTTTGTACTTTTACTATAGTCATTAGGGCAAAAGAGATTAAACTGAATCACAATATCCATATTGTTTTTACTCCTAAATGAGAATCCTAACAACAACAACAACAAAAAGTCAAGAAAGTAACTCCTTAGTAGCAACTTCTTAGGAAATCTATGACCTTGTTCCAAATCCTCTTTGAGTCAATCCTCGATTATCAACTTCCTGTGAAACACTCATTAATACTTCACTTCCTGCCCCTACTCTCCAAACCCGCCACCACCTTTAATTTAACATTAGCCCAAGTAAAATAACAAGTCTATTGCCAAAAAAGAATTTAACACAATTATAATTAAAGCAAATATAAATAATTTAGAATATCCTCCTCATTGCTCCCCTCCAGAAGCCATATAATGCATGTCTACAGCACAAATAAAGGCAAAGTAGAGCCAGTTGCATGGAATCTCATGGGCTTAGATTGCGTCGGCCCAGGGGCCTTCTCCCATCAGCAGTAAAACAGGAGCCCAGGTACTAGAGATTTGAGAGAGGAGCCCAAGACTACTGAACTTGGGGCTTGTTTAATCTAGGACCCTCTCCAATGCTCCTATAAGACCACTACTGTTCATATCTTATTTGGGTGTTCATGACATACCTAAACTCTCTTAGGGTACTTTTGACATCCTCAAACTCCCCCAGGTACTCTGGGGAAGAAAAGTTCCCCTTGTTTGGCAAGTAGTAATGGAAGATGAAAGGCTGGGCATACAAACTGGCTCAGAATTGAACCAAATTCAATGAACAAAGCAAAGACTGTTGCATCCAAAGTACTTGGTTCCCCATTGGTCGTGACTCTAGGATTCAAAGACTCTTCAACAATGTCACCAGATCCCAAATCATGAATGGGCTAAGTTCTGAAAGTTTATAGGATCTATGTCTCCTTAGTAACAATGTTCTATGTGACAGTTAAGTTCTTAGGCCAACACAAAAATTTACTAAACTCTGACTGACATTAACACATTAATAATAGTACTAGCCTTCAGACTGGGTTTTCATCACTGGGGGCCATGTGGTATAACAGGGAAGGAAAGAAGGAAGAAGATTTCTCCTCTGCTTCCTGAAAGCAAGGCCTGCCAACAAGCAGCATTGTCTTTGACATTCTCCCATTTTCCCTTCCCATCTCTCCCCTACCTCCCGGGGCCCTTCTTCCCAGATGTCCCAGAAATTCAGCACTTTCTGACTATCTAAGCCTACCCGTCAGGGAACCTTTCCAAGGACTGCTTAAGGTTCTCAAATTACTTATTTTTACACAAAATCCATTCCTCCTGGAGGGCTGACCTCAGCTAGGTATTAGAAAGAAAGCTGATTGCGCTCATTCACACAAAGGTGAGAATGACATATTCTCAAAGGAATTATATTTTTAAGAAGGGTGTTTTTCAATCCACAAATTTCTAGCTGATGGCATTTCAGTGCATTTAACGAAATAAAATAAAAAATCTTCAGGCAATATGGAAAGAGATATTTTTAACCGGGCCTATTTCAGGGAGGGAGGGAGGGAGAAAGGGAAGACAAAGGCACAGGGTACAGGGATGTTTACAAGTCAAGGGCTGCCTTTCTTCCTGTTTTCTTTCTCTTCCCCAGCCTCTCCTGTTCTTCTCATCTTATGATTCTTCTCCAGTCACTGAGTATGCCCAGGCTTTCCCTCCCCTCTGGTCTGTGGGGCTCTATGGAACCCAGCTCAGCCTTCCCATCTTCTCTGTTACTCGGTGCCCCTACACTGAAACAGATCTGGAGTCCCCACATACAGATCATTTGTTTTAGTTCTTTTATGTATACATTTTCAGCAACATACTGTAGATTGTAGAGAGTTATATAAAGAAACGATGAAATAGGGTTGAAGAGCTGTCCCGGTTACTCTGGTAGGAGCATTAGACCGTGGGTGAAGCCCCCAGGCCGGCTCACCTTTTCACAAGGCAAGATCCTGAAGGAGAGGGGCCAACCCTGATTTAACTTCTTACCCCTTCCCAGTGCCCATACACAGCTGAAGCTCAAGGAAAGTGCTATTAATCAGACTTGTTCCAAGGACCCACATTTCCACTGTATGAGGTATGTATTTAAGTAAACATGCACATCCCACTATTGTAAATCTTAACTTTTCATTCATTAAACCACCTTAGATGTTCTGTTCTTGGAGTTTTGTGGCTGGAACTCAGCCAAGCCTTAAGAGTTTGCTCTTCTGAAAGGTAAGGCATGAGGGACAAAGTTTAGATTTCGGGGACTGCAGAATGCAGGATTAGGATACGGAAAGGCCTTTGAAATTTACTTGGGACCAGATTCTAGGAAACCACATGAGGGCACCAAGTACCCTGAAAGCTGTTTACCTTGAACACACTGGGAACTTGAAGTTTTGGTGATGGGATTCCAATCAAAAAATCAATAATCACCATTGTGAAGATAGTGAGGAAAACAGCAAAGTCACTCACCATGGAGCGTACCTGGCATGAGAAAGGATTGGAAAAGTGTTTTATTAGGCTCAATGCAGTAGAAGAGAATTTTGCATTGTAAAAGGTTTACAAGTCCTCAGAAGAATGCTTTAATGTTATAATTGAATTAATACAACCACATGTAAACAACAGGAATATGTTAATATGCCCAAGTTAATACCCCCAAAGGGTGGATATGATGAGAGAGAATGAACCATTTGGCAAACTCTAATGTAACCACCCTGACTGGGAAGAGCTCTATTTGGAGCATTTGTGCCCAGGTCTGGGCAATAGTTCTGAGAACTTGGAATAAGATTTTCTGGGGCCAGTTAAGGTCCATTTGTACCAGCCAAGGGCCTTGGTGACAGCATCGACTCTTCTCCCTCATGCCCGACACCTCATCTACCTGCATCCAAGCCCTGTTGGCTCTACCTCTAGAACAAATCCCGGATCTGAGCACTCCTCACCACCTCCACTGTTCCCATCCAGACCAAGGTCACCATCAGCTCTTGTCTCTCTTAAGTACAGCAGACACTTGCTTCAGCCCCCCTTTAAAGCCATTGGACTGACTATACAAGTTGGATTATGTCAATCCACAAAAACCCTGAAATGGTTCCTCATTTCACTGAGATAAAAACCCAAAAGACCTCGGCCTATGAGGCCCACACATTGAAATCATTAGAAGCCCAGCTTCTAACGCTCTCCCACTCGTTCACTCTGCTCCAGCCATACAGACCACTCCGTTGTGTATTTTCTTTTCTTTTTTAAAAAAAATTTTTTTAAATGTTTATTTATTTTTGACAGAGAGAGACAGAGACAGAGACAGAGACAGAGCATGAGCGGAGGAGGGGCAGAGAGAGAGGGAGACACAGAATGGGAAGCAGGCTCCAGGCTCTGAGCTGTCAGCACAGAGACCGATGCGGGGCTCGAACTCACAAACTGCGAGATCATGACCTGAGCCGAAGTCGGACGCTCAACCGACTGAGCCACCCAGGCACCCCCCCCCCAACTCTATTGTTTGTTAAACATCCCACCTTAGGGTCTTTGTACTTGCTTATCCCTCTTGTCTAGAATGCTTTTTCTCCAAGTAACTTCTTGGGTAGCTCCCTCACCTCCCTATGTTCATACAAAGATCACCTTCCCTATGAGATCTTCTCTGATGATCCTACTCGCAATTGGTCACCATTCTCTACTCCAGCACTGCCTATGCTCCTTTTCTGCTTAATTTTCTCCAAGCAAAACAGATGGACATAAGGGAAGGGAAACAAAAATAATATAAAAACAGGGAGGGGGACAAAACAGAAGAGACATAAATATGGAGAACAGAGGGTTACTGAAGGGGTTGTGGGAGGGGGGATGGGCTATATGGGCAAGGGGCATTAAGGAATCTACTCCTGAAATCATTGTTGCACTATATGCTAACTAACTTGGATGTAAATTTTAAAAAAAATTTCTCCATAGCACTCATCACCATTTTGTGCCTAGGAGGATGTTATAGTTTAGTTCAGCTTTAATAAAATACAATGCCTCTAAAACGCCCAGTGTCTGCCTTAATCTGAACTTCCAACAGAGACAGAGCAAAATATATCTTAGCCAAAATATATCTTAACCTGACTTTGCTTTCCTTTGAAACCTGAGGTTTGCAGCTTCCTGGCCCTGGTTTTGTCAATTCTCTTCTGAATGTTACACAATTCTCTGAACCTGTACCTGCCCCCACCGTCATGAGCCATCTTGGGTCCATCTGACCATCCTGGGGCCCAGTGGCCCTTCCCTCCTCTGAACTCCTATGACCCCTTGCATCCCAGGTTGGCGCCCAACCCTTTACACTGTATCATATGGACCTGTACATTTCGTATATTTCTCCTTCCTGTATGATGGCAGAGACCATGTTTTAAACTTCTATATCCCTGACAGCACTTAACCCAGGCCTCAGCAAGTAGCTAGTAGAGAACTGCCCTTATTAACTATTTGTCCACATCAGAAACAATGACCCAGAACTAAGTCAATATGTTTCCCTTAACTACAATGTAGCATCGCGGAAGTCTAAGAATGTGTTTTTCCTGCATGAGTGTACCATAGCCAGCTAATCAACTGAGCTCCCCACCCATTCGGACTTCCTGCCCTGCAAATGTACCTGACCGAACCCTCACTTCCAGAAAACCCACCATTTCTCATGCTTTGAACTCCTTTTCAAAGCAAAAGTGGCCCCTTTTCGCCGCTCTACACCCAGCCTCTGATTCCGCTCTACTAGAACTGGTCATGATCAAACAGCACCATTTGTATCAGATTACTGAGGCTTCAAAGAGTCAAGCAAACCAAGTCAGGAGTATTCTGGCCGCTGCAGTCAATGTCCCTGGTGATTTCACAAACTGCCACAAGAGACATCCCTGGGAAGAGACTTTGGGGTCCCCTACGTATCCAAAGTGATCATCCCGCTTTACTATATTTAGCAGCCAGCTCCAGCTATTGCATACTCCATCTCCCAGCATCCTGGAAAGGACACTTCACAGCACTCTGGAAATTGAGGGTTAAGAGCTTTTGCAGAACCCCCTTAAACTCCCCTGACACTTTTTTCTTTTTTTAAAGCAATCTCTACCCACCAATGTGGGGCTTGAACTTACGAGCCCAAGATCAAGAGTTGTGTGCTCTACTGAATGAGCCAGCAAGGCACCCATCGCCCAACACTTTTAATCGAAAAAATCCTGAGTATTAACCCCTCAGCGCACACCACACATTTATGAAAGGCTGCCAGACACTAGAAGAGAATGCCACAGTGGGGCTTGCCGGGACATCTGGAACTTGCCACCTGCCACTCTACTCAGCAAGCAGCATGGAAGCTGAGAATAAGGCTGTTATATTAGAATTCTAACGCGGAAGAAATGTATGAGGGTGCTACCTACTCTGGTTGGGAAATAGCGACTTGTCTTAAATGTCTTTAAGGTGCTCGAGAGGATGAAGGTGGTGAAGAAGAGAATGCAGGACCAAAAGAGCACATCAGGAGTATAGGGTCCATGATGGCCGCACGCAGATCCCGTGAACTCTCCGTGCATCTCCTGGCACTCCTGCGGGAACAAGCATTCTGGGTGATGAAAGGCAGGCACAAGGGAATAAATAGCTCTGGCCTTCTGAGCCCACCCCTCCCTGTTGTTGCTGGGGAGCGCAGGCTGCCGGCAGTGTCCATTGACCCGTGTGCTTGTGGCGCTCTCGCTTGCACAGGCCCCTTCTGAGTACGGTGACTACTTAGAGTCCTTAGACGCTTTGGAAAATGAAACCAGGATGGTCCCAAGCAAGCATGAAGCTCTGGGAGGGCTCTGGCAATTCGTATTGTTTATCTTACAGAGGACTTCCAAATCGGAATGTTCTGCCAGCCTCAGAAACCTGGGTGTGCCCCCGCCCTGCCTGGTTTCATCCCCACATATCCCTAGTGCAGGGACCCTGGGTAGGGTGTACGTGGGAGGGAAGAGAAAGGCAATCTTCTTTTCCCTTTATGTACAAGAGAACTTTTGCTGGGGAAAAGGGTCAGCAAGAATAGTTTAAATAAATAAATAAATAAACAAACAAACAAACAAACAACCTTTATTTTTGAAAACGCCAGACCATGCTGAAGGGCTACCACACTTAAACTTGGCAGTCACAGTGCTACAATACAACTCCCAGACTTACGCTAACAGTCAGGTTGGCCCAGTGGACTTCTGTTGTCACGATATTGTGGTCCTTCCAGTACTGCAGGGTATGGTTGTTTGGATTTTCTGGGAGAGTACACCTGCAGCTGAGGGAACAAGAAAAAAGGATTCCTGAGGAAAGCAGCCAAGTATTTGATTAAATAGTTTTAGCCATGACTGGACTAAAGCCCCTGTCAGAGCTTGCCTCGTTTCTCCTTTGCCCATCTCAGGTCCCTGAAATTGGTCCTGTTGCTTGAGGCCCATGGGTAAGCCCAACCACATCCTTATTTTTCAGTCAGCCATTATAAACACAGACACAAATCAGCACATTGGCCTTGAATTAAACTGTGCCGACCACCAAGCTTGGCACAGAATGGTTCTTGCTGGTCTCCTTGCTTAGTTTCTTTCGCTTAGGCCCTTCCCGTGAAATTCAATCTATAAAGCAAGGAGGACCTACTACCCCATTTGGCTCTCAACAGTCTTCTCCAAGCCTGGATATCTCCTGCTATCTATACCCTGCCACATTCTCAATATGCTCTCAATATCAGAGGCTCCTGGAATTGTGATGCAAGCTTGTCCCGACACTGCATTATTCCTGGTAATATCCCACCACCATGGCCTCCTCTTGTACCTAACCAGACCAGATCAGACTTGTCCCTCTGGCCAACATGCGGCCTCCCAGTCCCACAATGAACATAGCCATTCCCACTAATTTTGTATCCTCTGTGGATTTAATGAGCATACCTTCTAAGGATATAGTACAACAGAATTAAAATACAAAAAGATCTCAGTAGATTGTAATAGGAGGAAATCAACAAAATAAAACATAATAGGGAAAGCCATAAAGTCCTACATTTAGGTCTACAAAATCAATCCCAAACTTGGAAGCAACGAAGATGTCCTTCAGTAGGTGAATGGATGCACTATATCTATAACTACACAATGGACTATTATTCAGCACTAAAAAGAACGAACTATCAAGCCATTAAAAGGCATTAAAGACCTTTAAGGCAATAACACTAAGTACACAAAGCCAATCAGAAAAGCCTACATACTGCAGGATTACAACTATATGACATTGCCGAAAAGGCAAAATGATGACGACAGTAAAAAGATCAATGCTTGCCAGGGTTTGGAGTGGTACCGAGGGATGGGTAGGCAGAGCACCAAATATGTTTTTTTTGAGAGAGAGAGACAGAGAGAGAGAGACAGAGAGAGAGCATGAGCAGGGGAGGTGCAGAGAGAGAGGGAGAGAGAAAGAATCCTAAGCAGGCTCTACACTCTCAGTGTGGAGCCCAGTGTGGGGCTCCATTTCATCAACTGTGAGACCATGACCTGAGCTGAAACCAAGAGTAGGAGGCTTAACCGAATGAGCCCCCCCAGGTGCCCTCAGAGCACAGATCTTTAAGGCAGTGAACTATTCTGTATGATATTATAATAGTGGATATATTATTTATAGATTAATCAAAACTCATAGAATGTACAACACCAAGAGTGAACCCTAATGTAAACTATAGGCTTTGGGTGATAATGATGTCTCCATGTAAATTCATTATTTGCAACAAACTTAGCACTCTGGTGCACGGGATGCTGATAGTGGGGGAGACTGCACATGTGTGGGAGCAGGGGGTGGATGGAAACTCTCTGTATCCTCTGCTCAACTTTGCTGTGAACCTAAAACTGCTCTTAAAAAATCAGTTCCACATACTTGGAAGGTATTATGCTGAGTGAAATAAGTCAGTCAGAGAAGGACAGATATCATATATCTTCACTCATATGTGGATCTTGAGAAACCTAACAGAAGACCATGGGGGAAGGGAAGAGAAAAAAAAAATAGTTACAAACAGAGAGGGAGGGAGGCAAACCACAAGAGACTCTTAAATACAGAGAACCAAGGGTGGATGGGGGGTGGGGGAGATGGGAAGATGGGTGATGGGCATTGAGGAGGGCACTTGTTGGGATGAGCACCGGGTGTTGTATGGAAGCCAATTTGACAATAAAATATATTTTTTAAAAAATCAGTTCCACATACTAACATAAAATGATTTAAAGAGCTGGGGAGTTCTAGCTTCACAGCTCCTACGGTAGAATGCAACTAAGAAAAATCCCACCTTGAGCTGTATTAACACAGAATTACAGTGTCCAGATCCAAAGTCTACTCAGTCCAAGGCTGGTCACTTTTGTCAATCTTCCCCTACTAGGTCTCATGAGGGCAGATCCTTTGTCTGCCATGTTCACTGCTGTCTCCAGGGCCTAAAACCATGCCCGGCATATAGTAAGTGTTCAACAAATGTTTGTTAAACAAATAAATGAATGATTGAGAAAAAGGTCGAAGAATGAACCTTACTCCAATGCCAATCAGCAATCCACTAGGCTTCAAAGATTATACTCCCCTAATGGTTGTTATTTTGTAATAAAATAATTTCAAATTCTAACAAAAGTTTTTTATGAATTCTGACCTTAAAAGGGGGAATAAACGAATATGCAGAACCTACAAAAATGTATCCGTGACTAGTTGGCAGACCCCTCCATACAGTGTGCTCTCTGCTCAGACAGTTTCGGGTTGAAATTGTTCGCTTTACAACCAGGCCCTCCACGTCAGAAATTACAGCTAGAAGGCAGGGAATTTGATGTATGGAGCTAAAGGTTGAGGATCTTTAGTCATAATTTGGAGAATACTATTCCGGAGAAGAAGTGTTTCTAGGACCAGACTCTCCTGGATGGTTGACAACATGGCGAAATACCATGTTTCTTCTCCCCCTGATCCAAACTGTATCAGGCATGGGAAGAAAACAGTCTCTTGCGTTGAAATCTATGTAAGTAAATAGATTACTAGATCCTTAGGAAACAGAGTAAGAGACCTGTGGATCTGCAAAGAATTGTGAGTATATCTCTACCTAACGATTCCTAAGAGGAGCCTGTACATACATTCAGACGATCTTGATAACATGCTTCAGGGACTCACAAATCCTTGTAAAAAGAAGGTCCTCCCAATAACTCACTTGAATTCTCCCTGCTACCTTTGCAGCCTACTTTTGTCTCGTGCCTGGAACCAAAAGCCCGTGCTCTGGAAAGCATTCCTCATGTCCCCTCTGAGTTTCGTTCTTAGTCCATCCTCTCTGTCATCACTTCTGGCTGTTCTCTGGCAGGCCCCCTCGGGTCTCCACATCCCTATCTAAGCCTTATTTCCCAGAGGGGCAAGACACTTCCTTAACAAAAGGTGCAAGTACTGCCGGGTACACTGCATCAGCCAGTAAACGCAGGCCCACTGCTCAATTTAAAAAAAAAAAAAAAAAAAAAAA